TGGCAGGGTGCTCAATCTTTATGTTCCCACAGCTTGGCATGCAATTGGTGTTCTCTAGATGTGTGCTGGCCTCGTGCAAAGTGAGAACAGTTGAAAAGAGATGGGCTCGTAGCCCAGTTCTCCACCTCTGCAACTTCCACTGCTTTCTCCCACAGACCTACATTGCCCATCCCAGAGATCAGCAGTTCTTAACCTAGACTCAGCAGATCTCCCGATGAGAAATGTACATCCAAAGTATGTGTTGGAAAGCAGACCCTCTGGGATAAAAAGATACCAGATTTTGATCCAGAAAAATGGAGTAAACTTGGCTCAGGAAGATGTATGTCCACCAAGTGCCCAGTAAATGCCCATCAGCTGGATTCACCTGGCTACCAGGACTACCAGGTCCTCTGAGATTTAAAAAGTCCCAGATATATACACACAAGGCCCATGAGCCTGCAGTTTTTCTCCCACTCCCATAACATGCAAGGCAGAAGTGAGATTTCAGTGTCCGGAAGCTTGCCCTGGGAGCAGCTGTGCTGCTGCTGGGTGACTCCCACAGAGTTGGGCACATGCTGGCCGTCTCTGTGTGCCAGCATATGCACTGAGATGCAACAGGTGGGAGTCAGGGTCTGGCACGGGGAACTAGGCACAGGGAAAGCTAACTAGGCTTCAGAGGATCTGAACTCAGAACTATTACTTCTTTCTTCTGTTATTATTATTCCTCAGCCTGGGCATTGTAGCACAGCCAGTTATGCTACAGCTTCAGACACCCACATGCAACTTCCTGCTAATGAATCCTAGCAGGTAGCAGATGATGGCTCAAGTGCACCCATGGGGGAGATAGACCCAGCTGAGCTCCTGGCCCTGGCTTTGGCCTGGCTCAGCCCTGACTATTACAGGCATTTGGGAAAGGAACCAGGGAATTCAAATCCTCTCTCATTTTCTCTCTCCTTCTCCTCCCTGTCCCCCTTCCTCTCTCCTTTTCTTTTCTTTTTCTGTCTCTCTGACTTTCTCGCTAGGCCTTCCATAAAAATGAAAATAAGCATTTTGAAAAGTACTTTTTCTTGCTACAAATGCATGTATATGTATCTACACATTTATGGGAGGAAATCTGGAGTGTGTAAGTGAATCACCTCCAATTTTACCCTTACCCAAAGAACCACTGTGAACATCTGGCTTTTGTTTCTCCCATTTATCCTGTGCAATATTTATGAGCTATTTTATGTCAGCCATTCACTGGGTTCTGTGCTTTACAAGCACTATCTCATATGAACCCCTAATCTTCCATCAGTTAATTCTCCATCTTTTTTCACTTATTTTATTTGAGAGGCAAATAGAGATAATAGGTAATGAGAAAGAGAAAGTCCCATCCATTGGTTCACTCCCCAATGACTGGAGCTGGGCTAGCCCAAAGCCAGGAGCCAGAACCTCAGTGCAATTCTCCCACGTGGGTAGCAGGAACCCAATCACTTGAACTATCACTCCCCAGGGTCTGTGTCAGCTGGAAGCCAGAGGCAGGAGCCAGATGCAGGATGGAACCCAAGCACTTTAATAGGAGACTTGGGCTTCCGAACCACTAGGTCAGGTGCCTGTCTCTGCTTTCCGGGTTTTGAGGCCCATGAGCTCATACTGTTTTATAACCTTACCTTATTCTTTTAATATGTCTTTCCATGTTATTAAATATTCACCAGCATAGTCATTTACAATGGCTGCATGATATTTTATCTCAGGCAAGTACTGTGCTTTACACACTGGGGTGCATGTACTCCTGGGGGCAAAGCCACAGGGTAAATGTCACACATCTACTTGAAGCATAAGTTTGAGTCTAAGATTTGGGAGGAAAAACACATTTTAATATCAAAACAAGTACAAATAGACTGCTGAATGCCAATGAGTTTTAAAACAGCAGCGAAGTCCACATGTCTGTGAGCCAGCCGTGCTGGAAGGCCCACACTCCCTTTCCTCTAAGGCCGGCAGGAGCACCTGCAAAGCCCTGGGTTGTGGTTCCAGCCTCGCTTTTGATGGAAGCAGATGGAGACCCCGGGAGGAGAAGAGATTTCCTCAGATTCACAGCGTGTGCACTGCAGAGCCAGGGCAGCAAACCCAGGTGACCCTTCCCACTCCTCCGAAGCTGGTACCCACTGTGTGGGGGTGGAGATCGGCTGCCGAGAAGCCAGCCCTGTGCCTGTCAACAGGAGAAACTCTGGGGTTTCCCACATGACAGTGGCTTTCCCTTTCTCACCTTGCTGCCCCAGATCTGAGCATACTGCTCCAGGGGGCAGCAACTGGACCCCTCCAGTGCATTGTGATTTGCTGTTGTAGCTGCTGTTTTTAAATTTTATGTTTTATCTTTGGAAAGAAGAGTGACAAGGGGAGAGAAAAAGAGATCTGTTTTCCTTCACTGATTTGTTCCCCAAAAGGCTGTAGTGGCCAAGGTTGGGTCAGGCTGAAGCCAGTAGCCTGGAACTCCCTCGGGGACTCCCCCATGAGTACAGGGGGGCCAAGCACTAGTGCCATCTTCCCTTGATTTCCCAGGTGCATTAGCAAGGAGCTGGACTGCAAGCAAAGCATCCAGGGCTCCTACATAGGATTTGGAGTTGCAGTCAACAGCTTAAGCAGCTGTGCCACAATACTGGCCCTACTACATTGTTTTATAGACATTTATCCATAAGACTAGAGCCTTTTGAAGGGAAAAATGATATGTAATTAGAGGAGGCCATTTACTGGATACCTACTATTAGGCTTTATACTGGGTGTTTTTTCCTATGGTATCTGAAGTTTTCATAACAGCTTTTCAGAGTATCCATGATGATTGCCATTCATCAGGTCAGAAAATTGTGTAGGATTGTCACTTGACCATCATCTTCACTTGTGCAGTAAATATTCATTCTAGACTTTGATGCCCAGGACTTATGCTGGGCAATCTCAGAGAGCAACACTGGTAGCACGCTGCCCTCAGGGAACTTCCAAGTGAGTCAGATCATGCCTACAAATCATTTTACTAACCCTGGCGAGTACCAGTGGTATGTTGCTCATCTGACTGCCCCAGCTGAACCTTCCTTTGGCTACTGGATGCCATTGAGCAGATCTCACCTCTCTATGTGTCTCATCTAACTCCTCTATAAGATGTGGGTAGCAGTACTGCGTTGCTGTGAAAAGCAGATAAATAGATAAGCAGTGCTTGAAACAGAGCCTGGCCCATTACATGGGTGTTGTTGGTGCTGGCATACAAAGGAGGGGCATGGGCTGATCAGCTATATGGAATCGGCATATGGAATATGCTTCAGTTGACATCTGATTAGCTCTTGAAGGTGAATAGGAGCTACCTGGTCAAGGAATGTAGGAAGCATACAAAGGGAGAAGGGAGCTGGAGGGATAGCTCAGTTAAAGGGAACAGCCTGTGCAAAGCCTGGGGTGGCAGGCTCACCTGGGCAGCATGCAAGGGGTCTGGTTGGAATAGCAGTTGAGGAGCTATCCAAGGTCAGTACCTGGGGAAATGGAGCCTGTGATGCAAGCTTAGGTGTCTCCAGGCAACACACTGTTCATCTAAGCATGGGAGATGCTCTGTAAATATTTTCCAAGTGAATGTACAAACATGTGGACAAACAGCTATCTTGGCCTTACCTGGTCCAGCTGTCATCCAGCCAGAAAGGAAAGTCATTGTCCCGTTTCCATAGTGATGTGTGCATAGCCCCTTCCCAACCGTCTGTCCACTTCCATTTTGTTGGTCCTGCTCTTGTTGGCCATAAACTAAACCTTGTGGTGGGAGGGCACTCCAACATTTGGGACCCCCGGAGGTGGCTGTCTCTGCAATCCCCACATTAGAGTCAGAGGTTCCAATCTAAGCCAGTTGGCTTCAGACTGCTGAGTAGTGAGTCTCTGTGAAAACAATCTCAACAGAAACCCAGAAAACAGAATGGGGACGGCCATAATTGAGACACAGGGACTCGGAACACATGGTACCAGCCCCTGGTGCCCTTGAGGAAGCACTCTGTAAAACTAAGGATGGGGACTGGCATTGTGAAGGAATAGGTAAAGCTGCTGCCTGTGAGGCTGGCATCCCAGTGGATGCCAGTTCAATACCCGGCTGCTCCACTTCTGATCCAGATCCCGGCTAATGGCCTAGGAAATGCAGAGGAAGATGGCCTAAGTGTTTGGGCACCTGTCACTCACATAAGAAATCTGAATGAAACTTGGCTCCTGGCTTCCACCTGGCACAGCACTAGGAATTGCAGCCATCAGGGGAGAGAATCAGTGGATGGAAGATCTCTGTCTTATGCTCTCTGTGTATAACTATTTCACATAACTAAACAAATAAATACATCTTAGAAAGAAGGTGGGGAGGGAGGTAGGCAGCCCAAGAATTGAGCTCGACCCCCATCTCCTGGGTGGAAAAGCGGAGACCCAGCTCAGAAGCTACTACCCCAAAGTCACGCCAACAAGGGGCAGACGCAGAACTAAATTCTGAACATGCAGTACTGTTGGGTGCTGCTCCTGTTACCCTGATTACCCTCCATCCTCTGTCGGTGGGGGGAAGGTCACAGGGTCAGGGAGGGAGGAAGGGAGGGCGAACAGGATTGTGTGGCCATGAACTTAAGACTCTATCGCCTGGCTGGGGGCACAGACCCTAAAAGAGAGGGAGAAATCTGCAGTGCAGCTGTGGGCGGCTTGTTCAGGGTCATGGCCCGATTATGCTGTGTCTTTTTCACCTCCTTTATTTTTTTTAGTTTGAGGCGGTTGTTTTTTCTGTTTCCTAAAGAAATAGGAAAGAATGAAGCTGTGTAAATACGATATTAACTATGAAAAACCTCCTGCCATTTTAACTCTGTTACTGGAGAAATAAGAGAAATAATTTGTCCACCCACACTTAGCTCTTTCTGACGAAGGTAGGGGAATATTGCTTTGCTAATCGAGGGAGACTGCTGGGAGTAGAGCCGCACCGACTGATAGCAGATCGGATCACAGGAAGCCAGGGCAGGACCCAGAGTCAGCGGCCTGCCTGGCCCCATCTTCCGCAGGTCTCCCCCAGCCGGTAGTGATGGAGGCGCTGGACAAGGCGGAAGGGCCTGGTGATGCGCATAGAGAGACGCCGCCGCCCCCACCACCCCCGGAGCAAGCTCAGAGACCGCCACCCCAAGGTGCCGGCGGCCACTCCCCCACCGGCAGGAGCAGCCTGGGACTGTTCGCCGCTTCCCAGTTCCTGGTAAGGACAAGCAGGCCTCGCACGGGCCTGGTGGGGCTGAGGGACAGCCGTGCTTCCTCCCAAGATGGCCAACTAGAGAGAATGAGGGTCCAGGGATGTGGGCTTGGGGTCCCTTAGAAACCCCAGGGACCTCAAGGCTGGTGTGAGGGGAAGCCTGGAGCCCCAAGCCCCTCACACCACAGTCAGATGCCCAGGACCCCTTACCCCAACCCTTTGGTTCTAGAAAGTTCTCTCTGAGAGCTCCCTGCCTGCAGAGACCTTTCTGAGAGACTTCCCTTTTAATGCAATGACCCTCTGGGTTTCTTCAGGGAAGGGCTTTCTCCTGACTCCCTGAGGCCTCCATATGGGGCCCCCTCCCTTAGCTGCCCTGTGAGTTCTCAGAGGTACAGTACCTCCCTCTCTAGTGAGCTGTGCGTGGGGCTGAGGGTGGGTGAGGAACCCTGGCTCTGAGCTCAGTGGGCTCCTCTTGGCCGCCAGCTTGCCTGTGGGGTGCTGTGGTTCAGCGGCTATGGCCATGTGTGGTCACAGAACGCCACAGACCTCATCTGCTCCTTGCTCACACTGCTGAAACAGCTGGGAGCCACGGTGAGTAAGGTCTGCCGGTGGGGGAGGGATGTTCAGGTGGGTAGGGGGAGCTCCGTCTCACTCTTCCACTTCTGGAGATACTTCCAAGTCCCCAAAACACTTCTGCCTGCCGCCCACCCCAAACTTGAGACATGCTTTTCAGAACCTCAGTTTGGCCACTCTGGAAATGGGTAAGCACTCTAACCCCAACTCATTCACCTGATCTGTTTGCTGTTCCCCAGGCCTGGCTGGGCACTGGGACCTGGGGACTCCCCAGTCTGATGCTGATCGCTCTGTCTGTGGGCCTGGTCCTCATTACCTCCCTGGTAAGGCACCTCCTGACCCCAGTCTGGGGCCCTGCCTCCTTCCCTTCCCCTTCATCTCCCATCGAACCTGAGTGGGTTGAGTTCATGAGTCTGTCTCCTTCCACCCGTGGGAGTGAGAGGTTCATGGTAACTGGGGCTGGGGGAAGAGCTGAGGCAGGGAGAAGACTACCGCAGGAATCCCTGGACCCACCAAGGATACCTGAACCCATTAGGAACTGAGGCGGGCGTGTGGAGGGAGAGCTTCATGCTGGGTGACAGCCCCCAGGAAAGCAAGGCTGCTCCCGACGCTCATTCGGAGGGGTAGGACGTGCAACCTGGAGCGGGGGGCGGCCGCTGGTGGCCCAGGCCCATGGCACCGTGCACCTCCACCTAGGTGTGGCACTTGCTGAGGGCTCCTGCAGAGCCCCCCGCCCCGCTGCCCCCCGAGGACCGGCGCCAGTCAGTGAGCCGCCAGCCCTCCTTCACCTACTCAGAGTGGATGGAAGAGAAGGTTGAGGATGACTTCCTGGACCTGGACCCTGTGCCTGAGACACCTGTGTTTGACTGCGTAATGGACATCAAGCCTGAGGCCGACCCCACCTCGCTGAGCGTCAAGTCCATGGGTCTGCAGGAGAGGTGGGAGGGGTAAAGGAGAGGGAGGGGGTGGTCTCCAGGGGCCCTGGGTTTTCTGCTCCCAGTGAGAAGGGTAGGAGCCTAGCTGTGGCTCCCAGAGCGCAGGACAGAGCTGGCCGCGCAGCTTGGCCAGTGTGAGCATGCTCACCCAGGACTCTGTGCAGATGTTGTACCCACCCATGCACACGCAGATGGGTGCAGGCAGACACACGTGTGCACGCTCATGTACCTGCATGCCAGTAAGCCTGGCTGGGTTTCTTTTCCATGGACCTTGGCCTTTGCCACACTTGGTTGCTCAGCACAGGGATTCCAGGTGTGCCATCAAGGAGCCCTGTTTGTACGGAGCATCTCAGGGGCTCCACAGAGCACACCTGGGAGGCACAGGCAGCCTCAAAGCCAGCTCAACTCGGAGCAACCCACGCAATGTTGTGGGGTGAGCACTGAGTGAGGATTCAGAAAACCTAGGTTTGGTTTCAGCTCTGCTGTCACCTTCCTGACGTGCCTGGGCTGTTCCTGACCCCTCAGCATGGGCAGAGGGGGTCCAGGTCTCCAACTCTGCAGAGGGAAGGCCTGTTCTGTTCCATGCTGGCACCTAGTAAAGTGTATCCAGGGCAGGCATCTTTCCCACCAGCGTGCTGTCCCTGGGACTCCTGCCTTGCCGCTCCTTGCTAAAGGTCCCTATCTCTAACTCCCAGGCAGCCCCCACCAAGGCCAGCTGCAGCCAGCATCTGCTGGGCTCTGAGGCAGATGACCTGCCTCTCTCTGAGCTCCCTGGGGACCACAGGGAGGACCTGACTCCACAGCAGCCGAGGGGAGCCCGAGGTTGGGGCTGCTGCAGATGAGACTGCTGCACCTTTTCAAAGTTGCTTAGCTGCTCCGTGACAGGAAACAGATCTCGGGAGTCAGGTCCCCCCAATAGGGTCGAGGTTCCTGCTCCTGGTGGTGGGTGGGGATGAGGAGTTCTGGGCACATTCCCCACTCCTTCTCTTCAAGCCCAACCTGTTCTCCCTCTGACCCCTCCCTCAGCTTCCTGGCCAGCTGCACCCTCTCTCTGCGCGACACTCACTGCCCCTCTCCTCGTGCTTCCAGGAGGGGTTCCAATGTCTCCCTGACCCTGGACATGTGCACTCCAGGCTGCAACGAGGAGGGCTTCGGCTACCTCGTGTCCCCCCGTGAGGAGTCGGCCCACGAATACCTGCTTAGCGCCTCCCGTGTGCTCCGCGCAGAGGAGCTGCATGAAAAGGCCCTGGACCCTTTCCTGCTGCAGGCGGAATTCCTTGTGAGTCCTCTGTGCCACGCCCCACTCCCCTCACTGTGGCAGGCCTGCCTGTGCCTCCCCGTCTTGCTACTGGCTGGGAGATAGAGCTCCGGGCCCAGAGCTTAGCACCCAGCAAATGTGAACATCACAGTCAAGTCTGCTCTCCAGCCACCTTGGGCAAATGCTTCCCCTCTGTGCCTCAGTTTTCTAATCAGAAAAATGGGGATGGCAATAACAGGGCTGTGGTTGGGACTAAAGAGATGTTCACGACACCGAGACGGGAGATAGCGCCTGGTGGAGTTCAGAGTCTGTGTTGTCCACAACAGGCAGCCTTCTCATTGACTCAGGGACTCCAGGCCAAGAGAGATCACCAAGCATTGCTTAGGCTTTTTCTTTTCTTTTAGCTTTTCCATTTATTTAGAAAGAAAGAGAGAAAGAGATAGGAGGAAAGGGGGGGAGGGAAGGAGGGACTCATGCGGCCCGCACTATTGCGTATCAGGCTAAGCCCCTGTCTGCAACACTAGCATCCAATATGGTACCAGTTCAAGTCCTGACTGCTCCATTTCTGATGGAGCTCTCTGGCCTGGGATAGCAGCAAAGGATAGCCCAAGTGCTTGGGGCCCTGTGTGTATTGAGACCTGGAAGAGTCTCCTGGCTTCAGACTAACCCAGCTCTGGCCATTACAACCATTTGGGGAGTGAACCAGCAGATAGAAGATCTCTCTCTCTCTCTCTCTCTCTCTCTCTCTCTCTCTTTGTTTCTTCCTCTCTGTGTAACTCTATCTTTAAAGTAAATAAATAAATCTTTGCAAAAGTATTTTTATTGGAAAAGCAGAGTTGCACAGAGAGAGGGTGAGAAGCAACCTGAACCTGCTGGTTCACTCTCCAAATAGCCACAACTGCCCGAGTGGAGCTAGGCCAACACCAGCAGCCAGGAACTTCATCTAGGTCTCCCACACAGGTGCAGAGGTCCAAGCACTTGGGCCATCCTCCACTCCTTTCCCGGGCACATTAGCAGGAAGCTGGATGGGAAACAGAGCAGCCAGGACTGAAACAGGCACCTACATGGTATGCTGCATTGCAGACAGGGGCTTAACAAACTGTACCACAACATTGGCCTCTTTATTTTAATTTGTTTGTAACATATTCAATATAGTTCATGGAGAGGATTCAAATTCTTTAAATTTCTCTGATCATCTCCCCTAAGGCTCTGGCTTAGATCCCAGTCACCTTCCCACTAGGCTCTACCCCACAGCTTCTGACTGCCTCCTCTCAGATCTTGCGGACACCCCTGTTTGCCCAAATGCCCGTGCAGTTAAGAGCTGCTAACACCTAGAAGATGGCCACAATTGTCAATCAAGGGCACATTTTAAGTGGGGCTTAGCAATGTGCAGCAAGAGTTGCAGGCCGCAGAGCTTCTGGCACAGAGCCCAGAGGGAAGGCAGCGAGCTTCCCATACTGCAGGCCTTGCTCCCCGGGGTGCTCTCATAGTCCTTTCTCAGCCAGAGGGTCCTGGGAAGAAGAGGTAGGGGGCCCAGGTCCTCAGACTCAGCCGTCAGGTGACTGCAGCTGTGGGTAGGAATGGCTGAGGAGCCCCCTTCTGTTATAAGCCACAGGTACAAGGAAAGCAAAGCCTCCCTCACCCCGCCCCCTCCCAGCTGTCCCAGTGGCCCTTGCCCCAGACCACATTGTTTCTCAGTAGGCAGAGAGCCCTCCCCTCTGGGCTTCTTCCCCCTGCCCAGACCTATAGCTCCAAGCTCTCTAGAACTTGGCACTGCCTGCAGCAGCACATGGCCTGCCTTACCTGAGTTGGCACAGCTAGCCTCCTCCTCCAGCCTGTGCCCCCAGACCTAGCTCGCAGGGGCCATCCATATGCAGCAGAGCCAGTGCCACCTGAGCCTGTCTGGTGCCTGCCTCCCCTCCCAGCACCTTCCAGCCTCTAAGAAGCCTTTCTCTGCCCCTCTCTCAGTTCCCAGCACCATCACCTCCCTCCCCTGCCTGCTGTGACTGACTTTGCCAGAGAGGAGGGAACATGGCCTGACCCCCTTGTACCCAAGCAGTGTCCTGGGATTTTTCTTTCATTCTCACCACCATCCTTGGGAGTGTTACAACTGTTATTTTACAGAGCCCATATTGAGGAGGTGCAGGACCACTGGGCCCTATGAAGCTGTGTGCAGTGAGGTGCTGGTCTAGGTGAGCGTAGTAGTAGGGTGTGCCAGGGCACCAGAGTGGGTGCCCAGGGAACACCAGGGCGATGGAGGACGAGGTGCACCTCAAAAGCTGGGAACCATTTAGAAAGAAAGGCAGATGTGTCCTGTGCTCCTAGGAAGGGGAAGGCCATAAGTGGCGCCTGAAAGCAGAACTGAGGCTGCCTTACTAATAGTGGGAAGGAGACTGGCACACACGAGAGAGGCCAGACAGCGCACATTCCAAAGGCAAAGTGCACACCAGGGCTCGCTTCTTATTTAATTTTAATTTTTTACATTTTATTGCAGAGTGGTATTAAATGCACCAAACAAAAATTGTGAGGTCATAATAGAAGGAGTTCCCATATATACCCCCTGACCCCATTTACCTTGTTCACATCTCATTGTGAGTATCTTGGGTACAATGAATGAACCACACTGAGCTTAGAGCTTGACACACACCGTGACCAGGGCACCTGTTCTGCTACAGACTCAGGGAAGGCTTCTAAGAGGAGGTGGCTTCCTCTGCAGTAATATGTTTTCATCAAGACTTATTTACTTGAAAGCCAGAGTTAACAGAGAGGGAGAACAAAGAGAGAGATCTCTTCCATCATTCCCCGAGTGGCTGCAATGGCCAGAGCTGGGCCAGGCTGATGCCAAAGCCAGCAGCTTCATCCAGCAGGGGCCCAAGCACTCAGACCATCCTCAGTGGCTTTTCTCAGGCCGTTAGCAGAGAACTGGATCAGAAGTGGAACAGGCAACCTCAAACCAACACCCATATGGGATGCTGGCATAACAGACAGTGACCCAAATTGCTACACCACATGGGTCAGGAAAGTCACTCAGTTTAGCTGTCTCTCAGAGACTGTGGAAGAAGGCAGTGACTAGCCAGGTCACCCTTGGTGGCCATTGTTTGCATTTACCAGTTGTTTACTGAGCCTGTTACATGCCGGTCTGGTGCCCAAGGAGCACCCACAGTGACACTGATTACACATAGCTTGCACCAGGCACTGTTCTGAGGCTGTGTGTGATAGCAAACGTTTGTTGAATGTGTGCCTGCACCACTCAGCCGCTGAACGCAGGAAAGGGGAGACTGTCAGCCCAGTCTGCATGTCCCCAAAGCCCAGCCCTCAGCCACTCACACCACCATGCCCTCCTCCTGCAGGAAATCCCCATGAACTTTGTGGATCCCAAGGAGTACGACATCCCCGGGCTGGTGCGCAAGAACCGATACAAAACCATCCTTCCCAGTGAGTACATATTGCAGCAGGGCTTAGGAGGGACCAAGAGGCCTGAACTGGGTCTCCAGGGATGATGGGATCCTGGAGGAGAAAGGACAGAGGTCTGGAAGTGTGGAGAAGGCAGGTGCACTGGACTAGGCAGTATGTGGGGACTGGCAGTGTCCATGTCCTTCCTGTCTCCAGAGTGGACAGACTGCAGTGAGTTCAGGCTCTGAGAGGGCCAGTCCACAGCTCGTCCAGTCACACAACCACGAAGTACAGGGCAGAGTCTCCAGCCCAGGCCCTTGCCGCCTCTGTACTGGGCTCTAGTCTGTCTTAGGTTCAGTTTGCTTGGATTGTGTGTCGTCTACGGCCATACCACCCTGAACGCGCCTGATCTCAGTTTGCTTGGATTGTGAGTCCTCTAACAGGCACAGGGGAGTGAGCTCCCTGCCACTCAGAGTATTCAAGAGACTGGGTGTTCCCTAGGTGGTCTGAAAGGGGTTTTCCTTCCTTTGGGAATGGTAAGCCCGGGTGACCCAGTGTCTGTTGCTAAATATGGCTTTCAAGTCACTTTCATCAGGCCCCTGTCTGCCTGCCACCCATGCCCAGGCCCCCGGGCTAGCTTAGGGGTGACATATTGGAAGTAAACCCCAAAAATCTGCTTCACTCATTTGTGAAGTAGCAAGGCTTTCAAAAAGCCGTATTGCCATCAGCATCTCCAACAACATGTAAGATGTCATGACTTATTTTTAACTTTTAAAATATCGACTTGTGGTTTCCATGGATACATCATCTCTAGGTAGTTCCAGTTAAACAAAGCACCATTTAAGGCCGGGATCCATTGTTTAGAGCTGTTCACCTCTTCTTCCTGCTGTCCCCTTCCCAGCCCTACCTGGAGGAAAGGGCCTGGGTACCCCAAAACTAGGACTCTGCTGGCCATGTCTCCCCATAGTCCCTACTGGCTTGCCAAGAGTCTCAGCCACCTCCTGCCATGCCCAAGCCTCCAGGCCTCCCACTCCTTACCAGACATCTTATTTGTCCAGCACCCACTAACCAGACTTGAGAAAGAGGACAGGTCAGGCTGAGCAAAGGCCACCTCCAGGTCCAGGCCATGCTGCTGAGGGCTGTGGTCTCCATGATGCATGAGTGTCACTCCCAAGGCCCTGCCCCTGGTACAGACATGCATGAGGCTCACACATGGCAGTGCGAGAGTCTGCTCCATAGACACCATCAGAGTGATGGTAACCCAGCAGGTGGCCTGCAGAACAAGAGCAGGGCAGAGATTCCTTTGTCTTTCACCACTGTGTCCCAAGCACCAAAACAGGACCTGGTATATGATGGGTGTTCTGTGCACATATTTGGATGTATGGACAGACAGATGATGGATACATGGACAGTCAGAGGGCTGGATGGATGGAGGGAGAGACAGATGCACAGGCCAGTAGGTAACAAGTGGATGAGTAAGTAGATGGTGGGTAGATGAAGGTCTCTGGACTATAGCATCCTCTCTTCGTCCCCACTGCCAGATGACATGGTGAAGAAGAGGGCTTCCCTGGGCTGCCCAATGCCAAGAGACATTATCTACCTAGAGTACCTTGACATGAATGCCCACAGGAGTCCTGCCAGGCAGTGCAGCTCCCAACCCTTGACACTTTCTGTGTTGGTCATTGCTGACAGCTCCTGCCCGGTCTCTTGCCTTCCCTCTTGCCTCCTGTCCTACTGTTGCCACCAGAACGGTAGGACAGAATAATCCTTGATGCCACTCTCCTCCTATCACCCATGCAATCCTCAGAACTGGGCCCCACTCTCTAGGCAAGGCTTAGAAGGTACTGGAGCCTCAGCCTCCTCTCCAGACCTCACCTGAACTGTGCAGTGGAATCGCCCATAACCCTGACCCATGCTGTTCCAGCTCTGCTCCTGCAAACCAAGCCAAGGAGCCACCTCTTCCAGGAGGCCCGAGCAGCCTGGTCTGGTCCAGAGTCCCTAGGCTCCTGCAGCCCCTGGGCTCACATGCACATACAAGCTGTCTACCTGCCCAACACTCTGTGTCCCATGGGAGCAAGGACCATATCATGTTTTTCTTCAGGCAACCAGTCACCCGCAAGCCACCAGCATGGCCAGGGCTCATAGGCAGGTGGAACACACTGCTGCTCTTAGGGCAGTAACTCCTTGATTCCAGAGGTTCTGGCAGCTGGCAGGAAGGGGCAGCGCCCACTGTGGTCCTTCTGGCCTGTGATCTGGACAGGCACAGGCAAGGGAGAGAGAGAAGGCCCATGCAGAGCTGCCTGCTCTCCACTTCCACTCGTCACCCTGGACACAAAGTCCCCTTCCGCCTTGCCCTTGCTCTTCTATCCAAGCCACCCTACTATGTCCCTGTCCAGGAGAAATACTGCACCCCTGATCCACCTGCCAAAGCCCTTGGGCAAGGGGGCTGGGGTAGGAAGGACTTCAGCAGGGAGGCATTGCTTGTCCCCTCTCCTGTTTGACACCCTTCTTCCCAGTGCCTTGTAGTAAAGCTTGTAGCAGGAAAAGTGCTGTATGGTGTTGAGCGTGTGCTGGTCTAAGTTGCCTGCCTAACTCATTCGTGTAGTCTGTACATGGTCAGTGGGGTCATCATCGTGAAAGGAGCACCTGGACACTGCTGGCAGGTCACAGAGCTGGGCTCCAAACCCACCTGGAGTGACTACTCCACTCCATGCCGTCTCCAAGAGCCTCCCTTGCACCCACTAGGGGTGCTGATGCTCCAGCCTTCCCTCTAGCAGACAAAAGACTGAGGCCCAAAGAAAAGATTCAGATGCTGTGCCGAAGCAAGACCAGCCCCCGGAGCTGCAGGCCACCACCAGTGTCCCTAGCCGCCCTGCATGTCCTCCCTGTCACTGCCCCAGCCTCCCCAGCTGCCAGGCTAGTCAATACAGGGAAGGTGGGGCTGGAACACAACACACTCTGCTCAGGAAGAACAGGATGTTACGGGAATCTGTTACTATGGGATCCAACGTACAAGTAGACTGGAGACAGAAACCTCCGTGCACACACATCTGCTGTCTAAGCTTAGGCACAGAAGCCTCTCCCTCCCTCCCATCCCAACGTTCCCCTGAACTGCCCTCCACCAAATCCTGGTAGCCCTCCGGAGTGCACCTGGCAGCTGACACGGTGCCTTCATTTCTGTTCTCCCTCCTATGCCCTCACAGCCTTTGGAGGCAGAGGTCTTTCTCTCGGTCACCAAATAGGAAAGGTGGGGCTTTATAGCCTTTATAGGCTACGAGGTGTACACACTCAAGCTACATTCAGTGGCAAGGTGTGGCTTACACGCTCACACAGCACTCGGTGACAAGATGGGGTCTACACACACCTGTGTACATCTGGAAGGACATGGTTGACATGCTGACTGTATGCGTGAGTGGTAGGGCATCCCCACATACGCTATATGCCACCTGCCACCTAGGGTCTCAACCCGAGGTCATCCCTTTCTTGCCTTAGCCTTCTTTTCGCCAGAGCGTGGAGGGAGCAGGGAGTCCAGGGCAGCCTAAGGGACACAGGCCCAGGACAGTCACTGATCCTTCAGACATACCCAGGACCCCTGCCCCGCTCCTCTTCACCCTGTCTGAATGGGTCATAGAGGGTCACTGTCTTCCTATTGGTCATGGGGAAGAAGAACTGCTAGGGCCCCAAAGAAAGGTGGGGACCCTGGGATGAGCCAAAGGAAGACTGGCTGAACAGCAGAGCACCCAGGTCCTGGCCTCACCTGTCTTCCTCCTCTACCCAGACCCTCACAGCAGGGTGTGTCTGACCTCATCGGACCCTGAGGACCCTCTGAGTTCCTACATCAATGCCAACTACATCAGGGTATGTAGTCCCATCCCGATGACCTCACTGAAGGGGAGGCCTGAGCCCCAGGGATGCGTCCCCCAGACCTGTGCCTAAACTCAGTTCTGGCTCCTGCCAGCCCCGGGAAGAGCCTGAGCATGGGAACTGGGCCCTAGGAGCCCTGACCCTGACCCTGACCCCTGGACTTGGCTGGCTACAGGGCTACGGTGGAGAGGAGAAGGTGTACATTGCCACGCAGGGACCCATTGTCAGCACAGTGGCCGACTTCTGGCGCATGGTGTGGCAGGAGCATGCGCCCATTATTGTCATGATCACCAACATCGAGGAGATGAACGAGGTAGGGACCCACGCCAGGACCAGGCGTCTGCATGCTTTGTGCCCCACCCTGCACAGCACAATGTCACAGTAATCCTGGAAGGCTGGTGGGGTTCCCATCCAAGTCAATAGAAAGAGATGGAGGCTGAACAAGATCAGGATGGTGTCTTGGGACCACGTGGTTAGAGGCAGGGCCCGGAGCTGGCCTCTCTATCTCCAGTGCCACAACCTCAGCTGCTTCCCAGCTGGCCAGACTGACACTGTCCATCCCCGTAACAGTCCAGTATGCTGGATCCTCATAAAAGTCCTTCAACATGAGGACTGCCTCGAGTTTCCAGCTGTGGAAACGAGGCCCTGGAAAGACATAGCCTGTAGGTCGTACAGCTTGGGATTTGACTCCAACATGCTCCAACAAGCCTGTCCCTACCCTTGGAAATCTCCTGCTGGCCCGGGGGAGCCACTGGGGAGAGGTGGCAGGGGTTGCAGAGGGCGACTGGCAGCCCCATCTGGGCCCCTGCAGAAATGCACTGAGTATTGGCCGGAGGAGCAGGTGGTGCACGATGGCGTCGAGATCACCGTGCGCAAAGTCATCCACACGGAGGATTACCGGCTGCGGCTCATCTCCCTCAAGGTGAGCTCTATGCCGGGCTGGGCTGGACTGGGCCGGGCTGGGCTAGGCTAGGAGGATGGGGGCTAAGAAGTATGCATGACTGGGCAGAAATGCACTCTAGATGAGACAGAGGCCTGTGTAGCTGACCAGGAAGTAGAGACGAAGCAGCAGTGAATGGATTTGGAGGCCAAGCAGGACTCAGGTTGTGGCTTTTTTCCAAAGCTTACTGCTGCTGGATTTCTTTTTCCACACTGTCATACGTAATGCTCTCTGAGCCTGCTTAAAATGCAGTCAAGACCAGAAGTGGCTGTATGAGGGAACTTCAGCAGCCTCCAGTGCTGTGCTTGTGACTTGAGGGTCTGACAGGTCCTCTCCAGGCCTGGGGTGCTGGGCCACTAGCCTGTGGAGCCAAATCTGTCCACCAGAGGGCAGGCACTCCCCACGGCTTTGATGAGGCACAGAAGCCTGAGTTACAGAAAATGGCCAAGGCAGAGAGGCAGGCAGCAACAACAGATGAGCAATGTGGAACAGCCCAGAAGAGTGGAGGGAGGGATCCTCCCACCCTGAAGTTATGCCTCTTCCAGGAGCGCATAATAGAGGAGACTGTTCCTTTCAAATCAGGAGGATCTGTGGGTTCTGTTTTTTAAAAACCAAGAAGTCCACTGCAAAAACTCTGAAGGTAAGGTAGCTGACCCTTAGCCCCATGCAGCCCAGTGCTGATGGCCCCACAGGCCCAGCCACAGAAAGGGAGCTCACAGCCCGAGACTCTTCCCCATGGGCTCACCCACAGACACACACAGGTGTCGAGGACTCCTAGGCAACCCTGAAAGCGGGGAAGGGGTTGGATAGGGAGGAGCTGTGATGACTGTCACAAATGCCTGAGGCATGGCTGCCTAGGCAGAAAGAGAAAAGAGACGAGTGGGGAGGAGCTTTCCAGGTTTCCCAGCACTATGGGTCTGTAAGGGAGAACTAGGGCAAGGTAGGCTTGGAGGATATTTCCTCCTATCCATAAGCCAGTTTCAAGCACCTGCCCTGGGCTGGGTTCTGGGTTGCATTCTGGGAGCGCAGAGCAGTGCAAAGCATGGATTCTACTCAGGATGCGCCCCTAAGATGGTGGCTTAGGTAAGAGACAGGTAAGGGTTCCCAAGGGCCCCAGCCTAGACAGGGCACCCTTCCTGGGAGTGGCCATGCTGAATGGGGTCTCAAATTCAGGGTCTCAAATATCCGCCTAGGACAATGCAGAAAACATTGTCTGCAACAACAGAAATAAGGCATGGACAATGGAGTGTGTGCATGTGTGGGTGCCTGTGCGTGTACACGAAGCCCTGCAGAAACTTGGCCCACAACCCTTTCTGGAGGGTTGTGTGCAGAGGCCAGGGATGTTTCTGGAAGGGTAAATCTGTGTGATGAAATCTTGTTTGCCAGGCTGAGGACTAAGGGGAGTGAGTCCAGAACAGGGAATTCCCAGAACAGAGAATGCAGAGGTAGGGGTCTTGTTCAGGCCAGGCTGCTAGAACAAAACACTACAGGCTGAGTGGCTTATCATTAACAGGTTTATTTCTCAGTTCTGAAGGTCATCAGGGCACTCGCCCTGGCCCCATCTCTGTAGACCCTCACACTGGGGGATCTGGAAGAGACACGTTCAAGCTGTAACCGAGGGGTTTGAACTCAGCAGCAGCACGCTGGGGTCTGTGTTAGACTCAGCCCCTCTGACCACTGTGGGTCCACAACGGTCAGGGAAAGAGAAAGAATGTCAGGCTGTGGAGAGGGGATCAAGGTGGAAGCCAAGCCGGGGACACCCAGAGCTTAGAGGGGAATGGACAGCAGAACACAGCAAGGGGAGGCCAAGGGCTTGGGGGCTGTGGGTCGTGTGGCTGGGGGGCACCTGGGCCACTTGTGGACAGGACTGAGCTGGAGAAGGGACTCCAGGCCTCTCCCAGGGGGTCTGGTTCTGGCCTCTGGGTGCTGCGGTGGAGCTGGGAGGGGCCAGGGTCCCATCTCTCCTGTGCTTGCTCCCCTCCCAGCCGTGCTCTATTCTGAGCTGGTGTGTAAGAAGGACAAGCTCAGAGGTATCTGCGGGGGGGCTGGGGGCTCTGTCTCCTGGGCAGAGCGGGACTGAAGAGCGGTGCCTGAAGCATTACTGGTTCACATCCTGGCCGGACCAGAAGACCCCAGACCGGGCCCCACCACTGCTGCACCTGGTGCGCGAGGTGGAGGAGGCAGCACAGGAGGAGGGGCCCCACTGCACCCCCATCATTGTCCACTGCAGGTGAGTCCTTCAGCTGCCTGCCAAGGCTGAGGCAGGGCCACCCCACTCCACAGACCACCCTGCCCCTCACCTGCTCCCGTGCACTTGGCCCCCAGTGCAGGGATCGGGAGAACTGGCTGCTTCATTGCCACCAGCATCTGCTGCCAGCAGCTGCGGCATGAAGGCGTAGTGGACATCCTCAAGACCACATGCCAGCTGCGCCAGGACAGGTCAGCCTATGGGTGGGGACCTCTCCGGGATGGCTGGGTGGGCTGATGCGTGCATGGGGCTTTCGGGCAGACAAGGAGCAGGGAGGACAGTAGGGTACACATTTGGGATCCAGAGGAAAAGGGAAGAGAAACAGAACCAGTGGGCAAAACATGGTGGCCCAAGACATCAGACTCCTAGACAAGAGGAGGCAAAACTGGCAGGTGGCAAGTGTCGGCATCTCCAGGCTGCCCAAGAACAGGCTCCTCATGTGCCCCAAGTGACTGACAGCCCATGGTGGGGGAAGGGAAGGGGTGTCCTCCTGCAGGCCACTCCAGGGACCCCACCCCTACCCACATGCCCTCTGCTGGGTAGGGGCGGCATGATCCAGACTTATGAGCAGTACCAGTTTGTGCACCATGTCATGAGCCTCTACGAGAAGCAGCTGTCCCACCAGCCTCCGGAGTGAGCAGGCTCCACCTGCGTGGTCCTCTGGCTGCCACCTGGCCTGGGCCTGACCCCCTTCCCCTTCTGCTTCCTGCTCTTCAGTCAGCAACTTCTTCTCACCCACCGCCCTCCTTCCCTCCCTCTGCTAGCCTGTGCCTGGCCCATCCACCCCCACCCCCCAGCATAGCTCTGTACATATTGGGGAGTTGGGAGGAGGTACCAGGCCAGGCCTGGGACCCGGGACCTGACCCAACAGCGCAGCCCCGGGGCCTTGGTTTTTATTGACGGAACTCATGCTCCTGGGCCCCCATGTCCCCGTGCCGCACTCCTCATGTGCTGCCGCAGCGCCTTCTGTCTGTCTCCATGTCTGCTGTCTGTACCAAACACTGTGTCTCCCCGGCCCGGGAAAGGGCACAGGGGTGAGGAGCTCCAGTCCCTGGGCAGCCCAGGTAGGGGCCTGCCTCGGATGCCCCCAAATACACACAGCCACTGCTCCCAGCAGACAGGCTGCATTTTGCCCCCCACCCCACCCAGTACTTGGGACCTGGGAACATGGAAGTTCCAGAGCAACCTCAGCTAAGAGGTCCCTGGGTTGGGATGGGCATCCCAGGGTGACCTGTGAGTGTGAGAGACCGTCAAGAGGGTAAAGGATGGGTGGGGGTGGGGATCCCCCCAAGGCTCGGGCCTGGAGGTAGAGGGCTCCATGGGTTGGATGTATGAGAGGTTTGTGGTGTCGTGTGGGAAAGCCTTCCCCGAGGTCTCGCTCCATGTTGCTGTGTGTGTCCCTGTGTCCCTGTGTCCATGGAGAGCCCCTCGGCAGGGCGTGCATGACTCTGGCAATGCGTGTTATCTTGGAGCCACATGTTTTTATTGCTGACCTTAAATATTTATTCCACGGCAGACCCGAGTCATTTGGCAGCGTGTTTTTATAATTCGCTCGTGGTCATTGAATAGAGCAATAAACGGAGCATTTTGAGCAAAGCTTGCCTCCAGGGCCTGTGTGATGATTGTCTACATTCTGGTTCCTAGCAGCAGGTGCTCACTGTCGGGAAAGGGATGTTAGCCTCAAACCGCCTGACTCTGAAGAAGGCTTTTGGAGAAGGCCACAGGGCCGGGAATCAAGGCACTAAGACATTCTGAGTTACCCTGAGCCTTGTCTCAGACGGCAGTGTCTGCATTGTGATGAGGGGGTTGTGGTGGGGAGCTTAGCAGCGGCTGTGTTGGTCACATGCAAAAGTACAGCGAGTCGGCGGGAACCTAACACAGAAAGGAGCAACATGGGAGTCCAACACACTCCCCCCGTCACCAGAGGCAGAGGACAGAGGCAGTGCTCCTGTTTGCCGGCGGGTGCCCCAGCACTGGGCTGTGCCTTCATTTACATCGCTTTATGTATCTTTTTAACCATGTGATTGAATAACAGCTTCAAAAAAATAATAATAACAAATGCCCACAGGCTAAGACATTCGAAGTTGCACTTGTGCTTTTATGTTGTCACAAGTGAAGACAGGGCAATAGAAAACATCTTCACGTGTCTTCACATCCTACAGAGGCCACAGTCCCCAGGGGTCTGGGAGGAAGTCCCATGGCTTCCCTTTCAGGCCTCCTCCCAAGGCAGCTTAGTCAGGAAGTTCCCTCTGAGGTCTGGCCTCATTCCCTCCTGAACCTGCACTGCCTCCCTGGTGCCACTACCCTCAGCAGATACCCTGGGCTCCCTATGGGCCAAATCTGACTGGCTCCCCCTGCAAGGACTTGGAATGGATGGGGGTTACTCAGAGAGAGGGTTGGTCCACTGGTTCTTGTAACCGGAAAAATGGAGATGGAAGAAAAGGAAAAAAGGTCCAAGGACAGAGGCCTGCTGCCTGAGCCCTCTCCCTAACCTGCCCTGTGCATTGGACCTTCCATGTATGCTTGTGTGCACTCACACAACCATCGCAGCATCTCCCTGCTGCTCCCTCCCTCGTCCATCCTGGGCCCGGTCCTCTGGCAGGTCTCACAGGTGAGTGCCCGCTGGCTCTCTGCCCTGGGTCCATCTTCTGGCTGGTCTGACAGGTGAGTGCCCGCCTGCTGTCCGTCCTGGGCCCGTCCTCACAGGTGAGTGCCCACCTGCTGTCCATCCTGGGCCTGTCCTCTGGCTGGTCTGACAGGTGAATGCCCGCCTGCTGCCCATCCTGGGCCCGTCCTCTGGCTGATCTCACAGGTGAGTGCCCGCCTGCTGTCCATTCTGGGCCCGCCCTCTAGCTGGTCTCACACCTGCTGTCCCTGTGCAGATCTTTCACCACCAGGAGATGATGAGGGGTCTTGTGCCCCTGCAACTCTGCAGCCGCACCACCCATGTGCATACCTTCTCCCGGGCAGTCAAGACCGGGGAGGCCAGGGAGGTACGGCTGGGGGAGTGGGGGAGCTGGAAAGGGGCAGCCTTTCTCCTCCACAAGCAGCCCTTGGTGGCCTCAGGGATGCCAGTCCCAGCGGCAGCCTCCTCCTGGGACCTGATAAAGCTTTAGCCCACAGGCTGTTCACTCACAGGTCAGAGCTTCAGGAAAACAGATAAATTGAATTAAATTGAATACAAAATCATTGAATGGTGTTAGGATTGACAAACTCTTGACCACCTAAGAAGCTGAGAGCCATCAGACCATGGACCATGTCTGTGATGGTAGAGCTTCAGACATGGGAAAGTGGGAACATAGTCACCTCAGGTACATGTTGAATAGCACACACCCTGCTCCCATTTCAGAAATGGGAGGCTTGGGTTACTGACGGAAACAGGATGCAGACACAAACAAGTGACCAAAGCTGTGAGGCTGGCGGCCCCTGGGTTCCGCCCTGGAGAGGGCAGAGCCAAGGAAAAGCTGAGAAACTGGTGTCAGTGCAGGCTGTTTTAGTCATGTTTCTGGTCCCTTGAGATGGCAGAGGAACAGTACGTCCAAGTTCTCCTTCTAGGCCAGACAACCCTTCTGTGCCCACCACTCTTGGCCAATGAGGCAGAGCAGGTGGAACGGCTGCAACTCGAGGCCATGGTCTAGACAGGTGCAGCACACTCATGTGACTGGCAGCTGTGATGCCCAACTCTGTATGCAGAATCATCGCATCTCGGGGCAGGAGGGGGATGAAAACCCGCAACACCCAAATGTCACCCTGTATATGTGAATGTAATGGACGCTAGAGTAGCTTTCTGTGAAGCTCTCCAGGGAGGCTGATGCGCCATCAGAGCTGAACGCCACTAACCAAGAAGGTCTGGGCAGAGAATGTAAATCTGGACAAGTTCAGGGCTGATCAGGAAGGGCACAGCCCATCTAAAGGGGCAGCCACTGTTCACCTCCCACTACCCGACACTACATGGGAGTGAGCCCAGGTTCGAGAACACGATCTGGGTGTTTAGGTGACATCCTCCTGTTTGCAGATGTAGCACTACCTTTTTCTCTGTAAACACAGAAATCAGTAAATATGCCTGATGGCTAAGTGCAGCTGCACACTACCTGTTGGAGATGGGCCAACACCACCTATTGAAAAGCAGGCCAGGGGGCCGGTGCCACGGCTCAACAGGCTAATCCTCCACCTTCAAGCACCAGCAGCCCATATGGGCACAAGTTCATGTCCCAGCTGCTCCATTTCCCACTCAACCTCTTGCTTGTGTCCTGAGACAGCAGCAGAGGAAAGCCCAAGTCCTTGGGACCCTGCACCCATATGGGGAGACCTGGAAGAAGCTTCTGGCTCCTGGCTTTGGGTCGGCTCAGCTCTGGCTTTGAGGCCATTTGAGGAGTGAACCAGTGGATGGAAGAGCTTTCTGTCTCTCCTCTCTGTAAATCTGCTTCTACAATAAAAAGAAAAAAGCAGCCATGAGGTCGTCTTAACACATTTTTCCCCTCTCCAATAATCAGGGCACCTACTTCACTGGGATGCTGTGAGCAGTAAATAAAATGACCTCCAATGAGTGCCTAGCAGTTTCAATCCATGAATTGGGCACTTCTCATTCACTGATAACTTACCAGCCAAAATTTTCTTCATCTATGTTGCAAAAACTGATTTCTGCTCTCCAACTAGAACATTATTCCCACATTGTATATGCTCTTTCAGATCAGGACACACACACACGAATGGGAGCCACCCCTTGGCCCAAAGTAATGAGCAAGGGACCCACAGAATGGCAGAAACTCTGGAACAGATGAACCAAGTACAAACCGCAGCAAAGACAAGCCGGACCTTCTTAATGCTGCTGCGGAACCAAGGCTTCAAGAAAGCAAGTCAAGAAGTCAACAAAAACCTAAAATCCCAGAAGGAAAGCCCCCTTTTTAGGAGAGAAAGGCACCAGGGCTCAGGCCCCGGTAGAAGGGGCGTCCCCTGGCGTTTGCGCAGGCCGCAGCCAACCTCCGTGGGGACCGGCAGACGCCCACTTTTCCCGCTCTCCACAGTCCACTCAGTCGTCCACTGTCCGGCCTCGTCCTGCCCCCTCAGCTCGGTGGCCTGAAGCCCCCACGGCTCTGCGGCGACTGCGTCCGAGGAGAAGCCGCAGTCGGCCACCGCGCCGAGGACAGGGGCGTCGCCGCCCAGGTCTCCCTGCCGGCCGGGGCGGGAGGAGGCCGGGAGCTGGCCGGGCGTCCGGCCTGGAGGCTGCGCTCACCACGGCGGAGCACGCGTGCAGAGGAACCCCAAACCCGAAGCCACCTGGATGACGGACAGCGGCATCCGCATCCAGGAGCCCGTCCAGGTGAGCCGCGGCAGCATCGACCGGGGCACGTGCTGAAGGAGCGGGGCCGCGCGGGGCCCCCATCTGCGGGAGCGAGCCTCACCCATGACCCGAGGACCCGCAGGGGCGGAGCCAGACGCTGGGCGGGGCCAATGCAGACGAAGGGGCGGCAGGGTGAGGGGAGCTAGGCCAGAGAAGGAAGACCTACGCTGTGGGCGTGGCCAGGAGGGCGCGGTCAGAGCGGGAGGGGCGGGGCAGCTAGGGCGGGGCTAGCTGGGGTGGGACCACCACGAGACGGGGCGGGGCCAACGCAAATAACGGGGTGGCCAGTGGGGGGATCTAGGCCAGCGGAGAAGTGAGACCTA